GTCCCTGATCATTCGCAGCTCCTGCTCCTGACTCCGTTGCGCCTCGTCCATCAGGCCCCTGCCTGGCGCGACTGGCGCTCGCCTACAGGCGCCAAACGTTGCGCGGCGCCAGCATGTCCTTTTCGCGGGCGGGAGCAAACCTGCAGCACCGTCCGCATCGCCACAGCTGCCGTTCGCCCTCCGACGGCGGCACCGTCAGTGGCCACTTGCACAGGGGAGCCGCGATCTCCAGCTGCGCGGGGCGGGTCGGCTGCCCCAGGGAATTGACTATGGCGCGAGCGTGAAATCCATTGGTCTCTTCCTGCCGCCGCGACAGCGCCTCCGACCTCGCCCCCAGACGAGGTGGCCGTCCTGTTCGCACTTTCGACAGCCATCCGCTGCCCCCTGCGCCGTGAACGCCGCGGGCGCCCCCCTGGTCTTGAGCCGAGCCTGCGCTTGTTTGGCAGAGGGCGCGAGCGCGCGACCTGCCCCTCGCCCGGGCCCCCCCGCGCTCCGCGGCGGCCCGCGCCCAGCGCGCGTCGGCAGGGCCTCCGCCCCGAAGGTCGACGCTTGCAACCGCAGTCACTTCGCCGCCGCTGCCTGGGACGGCGCTTCCGCAGACGACCGAGGCGCATGTCTTCGCGGAGCAGGGAGGCCCCTGGCACAAGACTGCCCAGCCCCACGGATGGCCGCGCCTGCCTGCCCGAGGCCGCGCGGCCTCTGCCTGCCACGCCTTCTTCTGACAGCGCTGCCCTGCCCTGGGGGGCGCGTCTGAGGCGGGCCGGGCGACGCCCCCAGCGAGTCGGCATGCCCCTGCCCCGTCTCTGGGACGGAGACCCCGCGCTGCCAAGCCTTCGTTTGAAAGCCAGCCTGAACTTCCTTCGCGCAACACCAACCCACGCGCGCCTGGCCGGTTCATCTCCCCAGCACCATCCCACCGACCCTCCACCGGCGACTCGGGCGCCCCAACCCTCGCCGCCCCCGCGGAGAACAGTTGCCACATGCTGGGGGGGGGCCGACCTACCGCACGGGCGCGCGTCTGCCCCGCGCGCGAACACCTGCGCGGCCTGCCGCGAGGCCAGCACGTCAAAGGGGGCGGCCTGCGAAGCGCGCCCAGCAGGACCGCGCCGGAGGCCAGCGCGGCCTCAGTCCCCGAGCAGCAAGCGGCCGCGGAAATGCGACGACCCGCCGGCCCGATCGCGCTACGACCCGACAGATGCAGTGCAAGCGCGGCCCCAAGCCCTGCCTGCCAGCCATTGGACCCACCCACCCATCGATGGCACATCCCCCGTCGGGCGCCCCCTCCCCCTCTGCGGCGGAAGGGGGGGGGGGCGCGCGAGCGGGCGGGCGCCTTCGCCGGGAGAGAGCGCCCACTTACCACAGGGTGGCTGGCGGGGCCGCCCGCGCGGCAACCGGCCGCCAAAAAAACGCGGCGACCCCCCCGCCGCGACCCTGCTGCGAGCGCGCGAGAATGGAAGAGCGCAGACACGGACGCTGCCCGCCCCCCAGGACCTGTCCCGCCGCGAGGGCGCGCCACCCACGAGCGCGCGCACCCCCCGCGCGCGGCGGAAAAGGGAAGGCGCGCGAACGGGCGGGCGCCTTCGCCGGGCGTCGCCGGGGAGAGCGCCCACCACAGGCGACGGAGGTTCGGGCCCGACCTGGAGGCGCGCGAGCACGCGCAAGCGAGGGCCCCCAATCGGGATCGCGCGACGCACGACGATCATGGCAGAGGACGGGGAGCCCGAGCGGCCCCGAAGCCCAGCCTGCCCCCCGCGGACCCCACCCCTCCGCGAAGGCGCACCCACCCCGTCGAGAGCCACCCCCCCGCCCGCAGCGGAAGCGGACAGCGCGAACGGACGGGCGCGGTCGAGGTGGCAGGGCCCCCGCCGGTCGGCGCGGGGCCCGGGGCCGCTTCACGAACACGCCCCCCCCCCTGGGCCCCTGCCAGACAGAAGGCGGACCGCCTGCCCCCGCGCACGAGTCGGCCGCCGCACCCGACGCCAGCCGCCTCGCGCGCCCCCCGCCGGAAGGTCGCGCGGGGCCCCCCACTGCGGGCGCGCGCCCTTACGCGGCGCCGCCCGAGCATCGCGCTACGCGGCGCCGCCCGAGCCTCGCGGCCAGCTGGCGCCGCAGCGGGCCGTCGCAACGCAGAGGCCCGCTGCCCCCGCCCGCCCGGCGGCCCGTCTGCGCGACGGCGGCGCCCCCCCCCCCGATGGCCGTCTGGATCGCCACCGCCGCCGCAGCCGAAGAGCCCCACTGCCTGCTCTAAGCTCGGAGATCGCCGCTGCGCCTGACCAGGCCCCCCCGGCCGCCTCCCAGCGATCGACCGCGCGTCCCCACATTTTCGCGAAAACGCCCATCGCCCTGCCGCGCTCGGGCCCCGAGCCCGCGGAACCAAGAATATCTGAAAATGGGGGCAGGCGATCAACCACCCCGTCGCGCTCAACCTCGCCCGACATGGAACAGCCCCCCCCCCCCAGCGGGCGGAAGGCACGGCGGCAGCCCGCGGACTTGCCCAGAGGGAGGCAGCTGTCCTCGCAGCGGACCCGCAAGTCCCTGAGCATGTCCCCCGTGGTCCTCTCCTCCGAAAACGCAAGCACGCGCTCGACGAGCCCTCCGAAAGCCTCATCGTCGCTGGAATCGACGGCACCCATCAAAGAGCCACTATCCCCCCCACAGCCCACCCAACTCGATATCTCCCCCCCCCCTTCGCGGCGTCGATGCCCGACACCAGCTCGGCTGTCCTCGGGATCGCCAGGGCGCCCTCCTGATCCAAGGCCCCGCTGCCGAAATAAAGCATCTCCGATTAGCCCTCCGGGCCGTGCCCCTCAGACTGCTCGATCTGCATCACCTCCGCGTCGCTGGCCAGATCCACGCTGCCCATTGCAAAGATGCAGCGCGACGCGAAGACGATGGCACGGCGCTCCTTCCTCCCTTACCACGTCCTTACTCTTGCCCGGCTCTGACCGCCTGCGCCCGCACCTCTTGCTGAAGCACCCCGAATGGCCACCACCACCCGCGGCGCCCCCTGGCTCGCGCACCCGCACCAGAACCGCGCAGTGCGCCCACACCTCCGGCTCGAAGGGGCCGTCCTGCAGCGCAGGCACAAGCACATGATGTGGTTATCCCCACCGAAGGCGATGGATGGTGAAGTCTGCAGCGGATCCCAGCCGCTCGTCCTTCAGGACAGCCTCGTAGATATCTTTAAAACAGACGTTCAGTACCGCAGGTCCGTCGCTGTTCTTCCTGATGTCCGCCTCTTCGGCGTACTCGATGGACGTGGTCTGCTGCGACGGCGACTCCTTCTTCCGCTCATCCCTCAAGTTGCACCATTCGGAGTTCAGGCTGTCTGTCCCCGGCCTGACCCAGGAGTCCTTGTCACAGTGCTGCTTGTCTCCGTGGCACCTGAATCACATACAGCGGCACTTGCGTAAGGGACCCAGTACTCTGTTGACACACGTCCTCGTGCACTCGCCGCCCATCACCATGGCGGCGTGCTCGTGCGCGCAGAGCGGATGACATGGCACCATGGAGTCTCACCATCCTCGCAAGCCAACACGACAAGCAATACAAAACCGCTCTCTTCCTCACAGAAGCGGGACGCAACCAGGTAGGCTGCGACCACATAGCAATCCGCGAAGTTGCGCGCCGTCGGCCTCGTTGACTGAGGGCGTCGAACTCATAATGGGTGTGATGTATGCAGGAACGCGTCCTCCCTGGGCCCCTTGCCAGCCACGTCGCCAGATTGCGAGTTCGGCGAAAGAAAGACTCCGCTACCCTGGCGGCCGCATCAAAAGGCTCCACCTGGTTCCCGCCCCGGAGGGTCGTACGGAGCGCTGCCCCGCGTTCCCGACCCTTCTCCACGGCCCCCTGCCTGGCAGTCTTACAGAGCGCTGCCCTGCTCTCTCGGGCCTCCTCCGCGTCCGCCGCCTCTGCTCCCTCCGCCTTCATCCTGCACAACGGCATGGTAGGCGCTTGGAGGCTGAACTTCTCGTTCCGCCGCGGCGCGGCGTCGAGTATGCAGGCCCAAGGGCCCGCTGCAGCGCCCAACTGTTATTCAGAGACGGCCGAGCGCCTGCGCCCAAATGGCCACAGACGTCGGGGCGCTGGAAACAGAATACACTTACAGGGGTTCAAAATTGGTTGGCTTGCTGGGCATTCCTTTGCGTTGCTATACATTGAAATGTTTTGCAATCGCATTGATTTGCGACGCTTTGCTTGCATTGGTTTGCATTGCTTTGCAATGCTTTCCATTGTTTCGAGTTGCTGTGTGTTGCGTTGCTTCGCTTTCTCTGCTGTGCCCCACAGAGATTGCACCACATGGACTGCACCACCTGAATTGCACCACATTGATTGCCCCGCTAGACTGCATTGGTTAGACTGTGGGACATCACTCTTCGGGGCCCACGCTGGCTAGCAATCGAGACCTCCACCTCCGGCCCCACGCCACCTGGTAAAACAGCTCGGGATGAGCAGTCCCCCTGGAGAGGGGTCCAAACCTCTGGTGAACCACGCTGAGAGAAGGCCACGACGTCGGGCGTCGAGGTAACTCGGCCATCCCGAGGCGCCCTGCTGTGGTGAGGGGCCCGGAGACCCTAGAACTTCTGTCCGACAGCACAGATGCTCCGTACCGGCTAGGAGTGGAGGCGCCTCGCCACTGGGATAACACCATTCGCTGCCGGCGGCCCCAACAACTCGGTGCACCCTTGAAGGGTCAGGCTGGACACGACCGCAGCCACCCCAACAAACGATCTTGAAGACCCAGCGCCATGACTTTATACATCAACTGCTGAAGCCTGGCAGAGAGAGGACTCCCTCAGGGATCTAACCTCCACGAGCGGACAGCTACGAAGGACGACCCTCGTCGACGATTCAAAATCAGATGACAGCAAGTCGGCGCTGATCCCATTCGCACCTGGAGTTGCCATGCGAGCGAGCTCAATCACAAGGGCAATTGGCGCGGGCCGAAGACAGGTCGCGCGCGACCTCCCTAGAAGAGGGAGGCATGCTAAGGGCGAGGCGGCTGCTGACACTCGCCAGGCAGCACGACCGTGGAAGGCCCGTTGGGATGCGTGCCCATCCAGAGCTCTGCCCAGCGCTGACCTGCCCGGACCCCGAGCTCAACCGGCGGCAGCTGCCCGCTCCACATGGCGAAAGAGCAACACACAGACACTCAAACCTACGGGGAGGAGGACGGGGGATGGGCAGGGCGGTGAAGGCGCTGGAAGCGTGGCGCGAGATGTCGGAGCCCTGGGGGGCTCCAGCTCGAGCGGGGGGCCCCACCTGGCGTCTCGCACCTACAGCCTGGGGGGAGGTCTGGCCCCGAGATTGGCAGATTGGTCTGGATGGCCTGTAGGTCGACGCGAGTCGAACGCTCATGAGGGGTGGCAGGGAAGGGCCACGAAACGTGCGAGGGGTGCGCCGAAACGAGCGTGATGCCCACGTGCGAACGTGGCCACTGCGGCCTTAGGTGGAGCTCCCTATCGGGCCACGAAACGTGTGCGGAGTTCGCCGAAACAGGCGTGACATCCACATGCGATCGTAGCCACTGGGGCCTCAGGTGGAGCTCCTTATGGGGCCACGAAACGTGTGCGGGGTGCGCCGAAACGGGCGTGACGCCCACATGCGAACGTCTCCACTGGAGCCTTAGGTAGAGCTCCCGATGGGGCCACGAAACGTGTGCGGGGTTCGCCGAAGCTGGCGTAACACCCACATGCGAACGTAGCCACGTAGCCTTAGGTGGAGCTCCCGATGGGGCTACGGAACACGTGAGGAGTGTGCCGAGATGGGCGTGACGCCCACATGCGAGCGTAGCCACTGGGGCCTTCGATGGAGGGAGCTCCCTATGGGGCCACGAAACGTGTGAGAAGTGCGCCGAAACAGGCGTGACGTCCACATGCGAACGTGGCCACTGGGGCCTTCGGTGGAGCTCCCTATGTGGCCACGAAACGTGTGAGGGTGCGCCGAAACGGTCGTGACACCCACATGCGATCGAAGCCGCTGGGGCCTCAGGTGGAGCTCCCTATCGGGCCACGAAACGTGTGCGGAGTGCGCCGAAACGGTCCTGACGCCCAGATGCGATCGTAGCCACCGCGGCCTTAGGTGGAGCTCCCTATCGAGCCACGAAACGTGTGAGGGGTGCGCCGAAACGGGCGTGACGTCCACATGCGATCGTAGCCACTGCGGCCTTAGGTGGAGCTCCCTATGGGGCCACGAAACGTATTAAAGGTGCGCGGAAAGGCGTGACGTCCACATGCGATCGTAGCCACTGGGGACTCAGGTGGAGCTCCCAATGGGGCCACGAAACGTGTGCGGGGTTCGCCGAAACGGGTGTGACGCCCACATGCGAATGTAGCCACTGGGGCCCCAGGTGGAGCTCCCTATGTGGTCACGAAACGCGTGAGATGTGTGTGCCGAACTGGTTGACATGCGGGGGGCAGAGGCAGGGGTGGGAGGAGGGAGGAGCGGGAGGAGGATGGAAGGAGCGAGGAATGCGGGGCGCTGCCGCTTCAAATGAGGAGCGAACACCACAGGATGGTTGGGAATCATGAAATAAAGAGCTGGACCAATCCGAAGTCGTACTGCAGAGGAAAAAGCGCCATCAATGATTACATAACTATTTGTTCTGCTCCTCTCTATCCCCGCTGATGACTTGACATTCACCCCCTCACTGACTCCACCACGACTCCGACCTCTGTTGAGCGGAGGAGCTCTCATCGCACCTCGCCTGAAAGGAACGACAATTCGATTCGTTAAACAGGAGAAGGGCATAGGTGAGACCCATCACACATTTCTCGTAGCTCGTTGGAGATGGCATGCCAGTGACTGGACCGAAAGGATGAAGAGGAGGAGGAGCAGCAGGTGGAGCAGCGGCAGCAGTAGGAGCAGCAGGACGGTCCATAGTCGACCGATCCCATACGCACAAGCCGCGGAATGGTCTGACGGCCGGGATTGGAAGACAAAACGCCATAAACATAAACTTTTGACGCTCCACGCGGATTCCTTGAATGATCTGCGCTGGATCCCCCATGCCTGGCGCGCGGAGCGCGTCAGGGGCGGCGCCGGAGGCGCCGCCAGGGGACCCCAGCGCAGATGCAAGAAATCCGCGCGGAGCGCCAAAAGTTCATGTTTATGACATTTTTCTTCTTCGAGCGATGTCTGGCGTGCATACGGCATGGGTCGTAGAGGACCTGCGCTGTCTTCGAGAAGCACAAAAACGCCCCTCTGGGCGGCGCGTGCATGGAGAGGTGGCGCGAAGAGCGGCAGAGCTCAGAGAGAGAGCAGGAAGTCTCGGCAGAGATCGGAGGCGTCTCCGAGGGCATCTCGGAAGGTCGGAGGACTTCGAAGAAGCCCCCGACCTTACAGTCGGCCCGTATCATCAGGATGCGCGACAAGGATGCACTGGCCTTGGCAGCCCACTTGAAGCTTCTCGAGCGGTGCGCGGCCAAAAGGGCCAAGCATGGACCGAGGAGGCAGGGATGCAAGGCCATTCTTGGGAAGGCTGCCCGCCCTTACTGTGCGGGTCGACCGTGCGCAAGAACGACTTTCGGGGAGCGGCTCTGGAGGGGGACGCGGGGAGGCCGAGTCCGAGCGCGTCGGCACATGATGACCGGGGGGGGGGGGGGATCCCTGCGGGCCCGCACCAGGGGTCGCTCTGGCGAAGCGTCGCTCCTCTCCGCCTGGCCGATGCTCAGAAGCAGCTCTTTGAGCTGCGCCCAGGCGTGAGAGCGGGCAACTCCAGACGCGCCCGCCCCCCCCCCAAAAAAACCTGCAAAACGAATGTCGACGCCGTCGTCGGCGCCGTCGTCGGGTCGGGAGGCCCAACTCGCCCCGCCCCCCTCTGTCGGGCGCACGCTAACTTTAGGTCGGGCAAGTCCTCCTACAGGCGGGTTTTGGACGAAACATAAAAATGATCAACAAATACTCGAAAACAAAAATAAAATAAAGACAAAACACAGACAAAAAAACAAACAAACAAACAGAAGAAAACAGAATATGTGTTACTATTTCCGGAATTCCTCCGGTAGAATGACATGCCCGACTCAACGCTGAGCTGGACTCGTGTGGCAGCAGCAGCGGCAGTCAAAGACTTTTAGACGTGAGCCAACGTGCGAACCACGGTGCACTCACACTGTCCTGCGTATGCGACAGTACAAACGATAGTGCACACACTACCGCAAATCAAGGACAAACGTCCACTAGCTAAACCTGTCGGTGAAAATATGGCACACATTCACATGCCCTAAACTTTCTTGCAGGTTTAGGAGGTCCCCTGTGGACGATGCAAACTCCGGATCATCAGTACACCGGCGCCTTCGCGCGCTGGTCCGAAACAAATGAGACAATCTCCTTGGTCTCACTGGAACACCTCTGTGGTGTCCGGCACCGGGGCGGGAGGTTGAGGACAGGAAGAGAGGAGGATGGGAGAGGAATAACCACCACTACCACTGCCGATCGAGTCCTCGGAGAGGCTCGAGAAGAACTCACTCCAAGAAATCATCTCGGCCTGATTCAACTCCTTCCTCGAGGCGGCTTGGGAACGATTCTTCAGACCTGGCTGCTCTCGTCTCCGCTCTACTTCTGACCCTTCGTCTATGAGTATCAGTCTCCCGCTGGTCATGAGGTCGAACAGTGCTGCGTTACACTTGGTAACGTCATCCTTGGTCAACGAGTCGACTGGCATCCTACCGTGTGGTATCCATCGAACTCTACCTTTAGCACGTTCTAAAGCTTCACAGATTATGGCTAGGTCGATGACCGTCTTTCTATATGTTGCACTAGCACTTCCCTCTTTCATCATCGTGTCGTAAATAGACTTGGCATCTACAACATGCACCTGCTTCTCCCTAGATCCCAGACGGCAGTCCCGGCGTAACACAATAGTGAACGGCCCGGATCCTTTATGATGGTCACGAACATGGACATCGTTAAAAACAACATCTCGGTATAAAATCTGAAGATTTTCTACTTCTGCTACTGCGGCGGACAGGGCTTGAGTTTCCCCCGCCAACGTGGAGGGCACCTTCCTACGGAGCTTTGAGCTCCTCCAGCCGAGGATGGACGCCTTAACCGCCTTGTTATCTAGAACAGCCTGGTCACAAGCGAGAACCATCCATGCCCCTTGAGTGGGATCCTCGGGAAGGCCCTTCTCGTCTATCATATCCCCGAAAGCGCCCACACACCCTGCGTCTGAAAATGATACGAAAGCCATTTTGTCTGGGTCCAGCTTCCATACAGTGATACCCCTGGATGCCGATGGTCGTAGATGGCGAACTAGCTTATTGGCGATTATGATGTCTCTGATGGTTGCCGCCTTCAGGCGACTTGCCAAAATACTCGCCACTCCGGCTGCCTCTGGACGAACCTCGCGTCCGAGCCAGTTGAGCACGAAACTCAGAGGGTTCGAGTGGGGCATCTTTGCGCGACAACCTACCTCGTGCCACGGCAAACGGTCGTATCTCCTCCAGGATTTACTTTTCCATGTCTACAGTGGCTCGTTTGGAGCCGATGGTGATCCGACGTCCTGCAAAGTCCACCGGTCCGGCACCAGTCGCGGTACTTTCCGAACTTGAATCTCGATTCCAGTCGGTCTCTGAGCCACTTGCGGTCCTCGGCCGTAGCACTCCCAATAAAGAAATCGTCAACTTCTAGAAGCGCGTAAAACCATGACGCTCCAGGAAGCTGGCGACTGTCTTTCTCCAGGCCATGGGAGCGTCGTCGAGTCCGTAAACATTCACCTTTAAGAGAATCAAGGAATCTGGGGGAAGTCTGATTCCTTCACAGGATTCCACGAAGATTTGGCCCTGGGTGCGGGACATGGGGTCGGACTGACAGAACGCATTTTTAACGTCGGCAACATCGGCAAACAAACCCAGGTTCATGACAACCTGCAAAAACATCCTGATACTCGACGTTTGCGGCGTCGGGGCATAGACCGTCAGCGCCCCTGAATCGGGGTCCCTGTGCCCATGAACACACCACCGTGATTTGGCATCGGGGTCCTTGAAAATTCCTTCCACCGGCTCCCATCGTCGGACCATTCTACTGGAAATGATCCGATCCGAGCGCAGCGTCCACACGACTTCCGCCTTCGCCGGGGAAATAATATCGGCCGCTCCTGCGCCCAGCATCGCTTCCCACTCCTTGGAGTCGGAGGCGACGAACTTCTCTCTCTCTCTCTCTCTCTCTCTCTCTCTCTCTCTCTCTCTCTCTCTCTCTCTCTCTCTCTCTCTCTCTCTCTCTCTCTCTCTCTCTCTCTCTCTCTCTCTCTCTCTCTCTCTCTCTCTCTCTCTCTCTCTCTCTCTCTCTCTCTCTCTCTCTCTCTCTCTCTCTCTCTCTCTCGGCTGGCGACAGACTCTTCAGAAAAAACCTGCCCTCCCCTACTGGTGGCAAAGACCTCGGAATCCTCGAAGACTCCTGGGTCCAGGAGCCTGGCCTGGACACCGTCACCAACACTCCCCGGGAAGATGAGAAAGTCAGTGGTTTCTGCCGCGGGCGACCGACTCCTGCCTCTAGCAGGTGGTCGCGCTAGGCTCGGCATCTCGAGATCGCGCACCATCTGGCTGACTGGCCTTCAAAATTCCAGCCGGCCTGACTGCACCTGTCTAGCTGGCTCCTCTTCTCTTACGACAGGCGACGCCCCAGCCCCGGAAGAGGAAGGCAAGGGATGGGAAGAGGAGGAAGGAGCGGACGAGAGGGGAGGGGCAGTCGGAAGGCCGGGAGGTGGGGACCCAATCCTTGGCCTTTTTTCACTTCCGGCGGGGCCTCGGACCTGGCTCGGCGGACGCATGCCGGCACGTCCTCGGGCTGAGCCAGGCGCCCACTAGGTCCGGGAGGAACACTGGTCACCCGAGATCCCCCAGCCACCCCTACTGACGCCGGCTCCTCTCGGAGAAGAGGAAGAGGAGGAGAAGGAGCAGGAGGCGCGGAAACAGAAGGAGGAGCAGCGGCACCCGGAGAAAGAGCGGCGGAGGGATCCGGAGCAGGAATCGGAGACTCTACTCTCTCGGCTCCCCCCCTGGAACCATGAACTTCCGAGGACTGGCGGGAGATCATTAGATGGGAACGTGGTCCTCTCCGACCCAGCCTGGGCCTCCGCCGATCCGGCCTCGGAACCTGGCCCTCGTTCCTCGGCCCTGGGACCCTCGGGGACACGACGAACTCCGGGGTCGGGGTTCGAGGCCCCTGGGGAAAACGAGGGAACTGGGACCGCTGGGGCGGGACGGCTAACCCCTGGCGATGGCTCGAATTAACCCGACACCTGAGGGGCCGGATCCATATGTCTCCTAACCTGGTCGCCCCACGCATCCTCTGGTGGTGGGCCCTCTCGCTGTCCACAGCGGTGGCTCGACGGGTGGCTGACTGTCTTCGCAGCTCCTGCCATTGAGGACTCTGCGTCAACTGCACCCCCAGCTCCTCGTCAGCGCTCGCGAGACGCAGCTGCTCGGCCGAGCACTTCCACAAACGCGCTCGCACCGCCACCCAGACAGCCCCGCCTTGAGCGAGCACCACGGCCCCGGGGCCACACCATCCGTCACGACGCCGGCCGAGAGCGCCCGCTCGAGACGAGGACCTAGTCATGCGTCTCCACACGTAGACCCATTGTCCAGGCGAGAACTCCCTGGGAGCGGGACCCCGGGCCCTCGAGGCACGGCTTATCTTCTCGCGGGCCATGGCTCGCATAGCAGGGTCGCGGGCAGAGGCTCTGATCTGCTGAGCCCTGGCGAACTCAGCACCGGCCGCATCCTGCTCAGAGTTGGGCCGGAGAGTGTCCTCCCAGCCTGGGAGACCGTAAGAGTCGCCACTTACAAGATCGCGTGGAAGTCGTGGGTTCTCTCCGAACACAAGCTGGAGTGGCGAGAACCCTCCTCTGTGCCAATTTCGATTCTTATGGGCCGTGAGCTCGTGAACGAGCGTGTCCAGCTCTGCCAGATCCCCTGGCGGGTGAGCTCAGGCGTCGAGCTCGGCCATCACGCGGTCTTTAATTCAACCCCCATGGCGTTCAACCTTCCCGTTTTGCCAGGGGGAATCCGCGTCGCACCTATGGTGCTTCACCCCCCATTGCTCCAGCCCTCGAGCGAAACGTTCTCCGAACTCGGAACCTCCGTCAGAAATCAGAAAGTGAGGAGCGCCTAGGTGGCCTCAACCAACACTGCACAAAACCAGCCCAGACAGTGGCGGCCCCAGCATTCGCGACTCTGCAACAGACCTGGAGGTTAGATCCGCGGTCGACCACGTTGATAAACGGGTGCGTGACCCCTTGGAAATCCAAATAGAACAAATCGATGCCCGCAATGTGGTTGAAACGAAAGGTCCTAGGAAGAGCCACCCGGCGGTGGTTGCCCGCTTGTCGGTGCTCCTCGCACTCGGCACAGCGGAAACTGTTCCCGGCCCATCTTATCAGGTGGCGCTTGACTCCCCCGGCCGAAAAACTCGACAGAAACGGCGGGTCTCGGGATGGCCCATATTGACATGGACTTTGGACAAAAGCCTCTTGATTCTCCTTTCTAAATAAAACACAAATAGATTCTACCCCCACCCCGGACTTATCGGGCCCCCCGCGCATGCTGTAAATTATATATGATTATGACCACATGTCCATCCTAAATATGAATTCATACCATCCCAGCCAAGCCGGGTTCCCCCCCCTGCGGTTCCCTTGTAAAAAAACACTATGCGGTGACATGTTTTGTTCTAACATAGCACTTGTTCACGAATCCCTTGCAAAAAACGGGACGAAGTGCACACGCACGCGTCGTGGCGCGCGCATGCCGAAATCCTTCAAAAACCTTCGGTCCCGGAGAGGTTTCAAAATTGAATTTCCAAAAAAATAAAAACACATGGTTTCGCAACACTGATTCCAAAAAAAACTTACGCGCGAGCTCTTGCGAAATCTTAAGATAACCATAGGTTGTCCAAGATTTTTACAAAATGCTACCAAACGGGCTTCGCGCGCGCGCATGTCGAAATCTGTCGAACGCTCTTGCGCGTGTGCCGTCGCGAGAATCCTCTGCAAAAAATGAGACGAAGTGCAGACGCGCGCGTCGTCGCGGGCGTATGCCGAAATCCTTCAAAAACCTTCGTATTCGTAAGAATGTCGAAATCGTGCGTCCAAAAGACTTACAAAAACACAAGGTTTCGCAACACGGGTTTTCAACAAAATTGTGCGCGCGCGCTCTTGCGTCGTCGTCGTCGTCGTCCCCCCTCCTCCCTCGTCGTCGTCGTCGTCGCCGTCGTCGTCTTCTGTCTTTCCTCGTCGTCTTTGGCGTCGTCGTCGTTTCCGTCGTCGTTGTCGCCGTGGTCGTCCTTCCTCCCTCGTTGTCTTCGTCGGCGTCTCGTCGTTGTCCCTCCTATTTCGTCGCCGTCGTCGTCGTCGTCGTGGTCTTCACTCCTCCCTCGTCGTTATCCTGCTCCCTCGTCGTCGTCGTCCGTCGTCGGCGTCTCGTCGTCGCCCCTCCTATTTCGTCGCCGTCGTCGTCGTCGTCGTCGTTGTCATCGTGTCGTCTTCCCTCCTCCCTCGTCG